ATTTGTATATGTGCAATCCATGGTTGTACATGGGATGTCATAGGATACTGCCAGGGCGCCAACACCTAGACAGGAGGACGATTAGGGTCCTCAACCAGAGCCTTTGGCTAAAAAGCCTAACCACAAAGCAGCGGTGTTTGGCGGGAAATGCAAATGCATTATCATTTCTACGGAACAAGTCGCCACATGTTCCAACCCCCAACCTGGAGGGCCAGGAGAGTGTGTTCGTCAGACCTCTAACCATTGACCAACCTGGTATGAGAGACTCTGTGAGTGTCGTGGGACACTCTCCAGTATAGCTCAATGGATCGCTGAGGTGCGCAAACCGTCACACCACGGTAAGGTCCAGTCTCTTCGTGACATTTCCTGTACGGAAATAACAAAATGTTTTTTTTTCTGGAAGGAGCAACCGTCAGGTCACCGGTTGTCACTAAGCTATAGCTAATCACGGTACCAACGACTCATTTTAGCAGATCCATATTCGTTTGCGAGAGTTGTCTGTTTTTGTCACCAAGACGTCTTTCACCACATATGTTTGAAGTAGGCCTACGGTTTCAGTCGCTAGAAAACAAACTGGTTGCCATTATGGCGAATCTTGCTCCCGGTTCTATAGCGCGGGCTATCGGGGGCATTCATGAAGCCGACTCGTCCTCTAGCATGGTTCAGCCGCAGTACTGAACGCCCTCTGAACGAGACACATTTACATTTCTCACGTTTTGCGGTAGCTGAGGACGAGTGTTGAAAAGCAACGCCAATCGACATCAAAATGTAGTCTTAGGTGCAAACAAAAAGTGAGGTCAGGCCAAAGCATTTTGTGCATTATTGTGTACTTACTCTTTAATCGGTGGAAAATTGACCCCTCCCAACAACATTTGCGCACAATAGGAGACTAGAAATTAACGCAGGTCTCGTTAGAAGAAACGGCGCAGAGGCGAATCCTGTGTTGAACACTGATGTCATGCTATTGATAATGAAAGCAGAAACAACTACTGCACTTCTGATGACGAGTGTTCCAATAGGTAAGGGGGGCACTGCTACCAAGGCAAAATTTACCGTCCTCGTGTCTTTCAATATAAATCCCATTTTTGTCCAAGCTATGGTTACAGAAATTTGTACTCTTCGATCAACAATTAACTGCAACGAAAAAATCAGGCGATCGTTCGTGTACTTCAAGGCTTTATCGTGTTGCTCTGTTATTTTGTGCACTCACATCACTCTTTGTAAGAGTACGTTCGGCACAAGTTCATCTATACTGGAAATATCCCGCTACTCAGATCTTCCTCTGATGGGCTTTATAGATAAGTTGCGTTTTTACGAATGAGTCATGTAAGATCACAGCTACGAATCAACATATGCGTGGAACCCATGCAGCTAGGACACAGAAGGGCGGACGCACCCACAGAAGAGGAGCAGGAATCCAAGAGTTCAGTCCGAAGCATAAACATCTGAGCAGGGCTTCGCAACACAACCCTTGGCCTAGCTTCAGCTCGAGCACACCTAACTTGGCCCCGATTAACCTATAATGACTGAGTGAGCAGAGGAAGTTGCAGAAAATTTGATTACACCCGGTTTCAGCTAGCGCTGGGTCTCTTCAGTTTGGTACTTCAATAGGGAGTTTTTCTATTATGCGCTTTTACAGCCGTACCGCAGTAAAGCATCGCTACTTAAAATTCAAACTGCTTTTATGGACCGCCACGACGGAGTGAAAACGTTATGAAGAAAAAGTTGGAGTGGGTAAAGGTACTGTACTTTTCTATCTATTTCAGCATCACTGATTATTACCAGTATTTAGGGAACTAGTAGGGACTGAGGCATCTTAATGACGTTCCGTGTCGTTCCAAACTGGTTCGTTTGGCTGATGAAATAAATAAGACTTATTAGAGGACCACTCGTTCTAAGCGGATGACCGAAAACACATGGTGTGATAAACAACCTGTCCCTTCAAAAGGAGGCCCAGCTGGATAAACATACGAAAAGCAAAACAAATCCATTTGCAAGTTCACTACTGCCTTGTTCATATGGTAAGATTATGTATGAAATAGTCCTGTATGGCCATCTGATCAGTTCAGGTCTGCGCACAACACTATTTAGGTCAATTGAACGACTTAATAACATGAATTATGAAGAACAGGGAGTATTACCGAAAGTTTGATGTACGGGTTGATCAAAAGCGCGAAAAGTAAAAACCCAGGTGGCCGTCAGATAAACGTATGACACTTCAGTAAACTTAGAGTGAGACCAATGATTTAAATCAGCCTTCGGCACAAAGTGAAGAATAACCGGCTTCCTTCAGCCTCAGTAGGAAAACGATAAGAGAATCACAGTATGATAACAAGCAAAAGATAAACAGATGAAACTAACCCGGAGTCCACTACTTCTTCGACCATCTGATCGTGTTGACGGGTCTTCGTTGACGATCAATTTCGATGGTGGCAATGGCGGTCCAGGGTCTCGAAGCGGATGACCAGCCTGAACAGCTGTGACAACATCATCCATGGCACCCAGAGGTACAGCATAGAACGTGGTTCCACTTGTAGACTGCACACGAGGTGTCCAAACAACCAGACTATTTATACGGACACTAACACTGGTTTTTGCGCCTACATCTCGTTTTGTACGCATCATCGAAGAGTCCATGGATATGGCAGCATCCCAAACTATGTCTGACCCGAAGGAAGCTATCCGCAGTTGCCCTGGTGGTACATTATGCGTGGCTAGTACACTCCCATCTGACATGATCAAGCTAACAGAAAGTAGGTGAACTGGACAGGTGGCTGAAGAAGAAGATCGAGTAAATTCCGGAAGCTTTCGACTGCTCGGATTATCTCTGTACAGCAATGATCGCAGAAACTCCGGGCTGCGGGTCGCCGAGGATGCAGCAGATTGGATCAAAACGTCGTTGGGTGAGTGAGATCCATGAAGTTGAACGGATAAAAGTTGTGGATTGGGAAGGCTAAAATCCGGAAAGGTTTTCGGAAGCTCAGACGGGTATCCAAAAGGACTAGGTCTGCCAAACTCGGTTACATGTAATTTTTCGAATCCGGTCCCCTCTGCGCCAATTGACAGATTTGCTGTAGATAAATGACCAGATAGCCGAACAGAAGGATCCTAAAAGAAAGTGGAAGGTCGTGTACATGAGCTGTCGAAATGCGAACGGATAAACGCAGCTATCAAAGCTATGGATAACCGAGAAATTTCACTAAGTGAAGCTTGAAATAGAAAAATCGCTAGCAGCAACAAAGAGGGGAACAAACGACAAAAAGATAGCCCATCTTTATAGAAAAGGCGTTTCCGAACGCCCAATAAGCTGATTACATGAGAAGAGGAAGGCCATAAACCAACTGCTGCTTTGCAGAAACTAGTTTCGAGACCTAAAAAAGCAAGTCGGGCAATCTGGCATATCAGACTGACTGCAGCGACAGTAACAAATTCCAAATTGGATAAACTAGGAGAAAACGAATGAAAGGATATCACGCGGCTACCAGAAAACATTATCCACCAGCTAATCCACACACAGTGATCAAGAAGGCTGAAAATTTACGGTGATACAAGACAAGCAAGACAATACTAGGAAGCACGGCACTCCATGACAAATTCTATCAACTGGATCACTTCTAAACAGCATTCCGAAAAAAGGACAACGAACCCAATCACAATACAAATAAAGCTGATTATCGGGAAAACAAACCTAAACGGGAACTCATGCGGCATCATGTTAGTGTTTAAGGTGAGGACTGAGGTCATCATACGGGTGTTGACATGCCTAGGAGACAGACCGAACCCACAGGTCATGTAGGATTCAAGCAATGAGAAGACAAATTCATGGGTCTACAAGTGAAATAGCCCAGCCAAGTAACCAGTCATGTGCAATCAATTGTAGTCTAGACAGCGGGATACTCGAATATCGCACGTTTCATCGTAGCTAGAAGAGTAATACACTGTGGAAATTGATCGGCACCAGGTTCAATACGTTACCATACAGGGGCTCATTGCGATGAAAATAAAACGAAATCGTAAATGGTTAAATGAGAATTTTTGAACTGTCTTTTAGCGCAAACTGAAACAGCTTCGAAACGGGTCGTTCGGCCAGCCGGACATTGGAGCTCGCGAAGCGATTGGTCAATGCCAGTAGTCAATAAGGATATCGTAGTGTGTTGCTGATGAGATCAATATCCTGATATAGAAACTGTGAAGCTCTCTGCACGTAACTGGAGATGTTACAAAGCATTGCTGAAAGCCTAAGTCAATTGCGGCAGCCTCTGTCCAGGGCGAATATTTCGCACCTCAGCATGCTGGCGAAAAACCAGAACCATAGTGCAGGCGTACCCGAGGTGCGAGGTTGAATCACGATGCACTAAAGTGGTGCACTCACAAAGTCTCAGTTGACAGGTTATTGGGGTTGAAAAAGCGTCAAAAATAAGCACGCTTTAGAAAACGGTATGATATAGCTAGATTTTAAGGTTCCAATCACCCACAAAATCGAGCGTCTTGAGAAAGGAAGAGAAAAACTCACGTCCAGTTCAAGGAGCGCGGAACTGTCTGTCCTAATCAACAGAAATCAGAGCCCCGACACAAAAGAGAGAATCACACATCTACGAGGGACCTCAGAGGTTACGGTGATCTCATTCGAAGAATGGGATTTGGTCTGATAAACTGAGGGACAGAGACATTTTACTTGGGGGGGGGGGGATCGGAAGAGAATATCAGTCACTTACCAAACACTCAGCACGGATGGCGACCACATTGAGAAGGTCTGGTCCTCCGTTCGGATTACCAATATCAATATACGTGGTGGCCAGGGGCTGTGAGTCTCCAGATGTGGCGACGAGACTGACCATCACTCGTCCGGGGCGTCTGCCAATCAACTGTGGACGGCCGCTATAAGCGTCATGGAATATGTAAGCTGCGGGTGTCGGGTTCGCTGGTTGATGCTTATCCAATACGGGTCGGACGACCAGCGCCCAGTGAGGAAGCATGCGGGTGACATCAAATTCCATGGGTTCCGCACCATTGTGATCTTTCGATGTCACCGATCGGTAGTTGTCCATTGAGACGTCTTGCGAAGTAAATCGTGATGTGGGCGATGTGAGATAAACTCTCTGACCGGTACCAGGACGAATAGTGTAAATCCTAAAGAAAAAGAAAATTCAACGAAAGCCATGGTTTCAGATTCCAATGTGAAAAAGAGTGTTCTTCAGGTACTCAAAAAAAACTGAAGACCAATGACGCCACTTTTGTTGTGTAATGCCCGAATTCGATCAGACATAGTTTTACAAATAGTGTCTTATGAATAAATCTAATGGGTTTCCCAACTCCATTCTGGTCGAGCGGGATTGGTTCAAAAAGGCCCCGCTAGTTGATGCAGATGGGTACTTATGATTGACCTTGAACCCAGAATGGGTGGATATACACAGAAAAGGTGTATTGAAAAAAGTTAGTTAGCCTCCAAAATATATCCGAAAAGGAGGAGCTGATGTTAAAACGTCAAACAAACCGCAAAAGCACTCAATCACCGTGGACTGTGCACACTCAGGTGGCTCACGTATACCCTGAAATTGATCGCCGCTAGTTCAGTGATTAGCCGGCTAGTAAGAAGTATGCCTTTCGTTGGACTGGGCGAACGTCTCTTGAGACTGATGGGAACAAACGCAGGATTAACTTGCAATACACACCGAGACAACAGGTTACAGTTCTTATAGATACGAACGGGGTTATGTTTTCCTGATAGCGATCTACCGGTAACAGATGGTATTTTTCCTGTCTGGTTAGCCCATTCCGGATGAACGAGTAATGGGTGGGATAAACACACGGTATGCCATTTGCGAAAAACATGGGGACTTCATCTTAGTGGAATCAAGCCTTCATTAAGATAAAGGGAATCCTCCCTGTATAGCATTCAACCCACACTACTGACCAAGTAAACGAATGGTAGTCAATCATAGGTGCAGCTTTGCTCTGATTTTGATGCCAAAAGTTTTATCGTTATTCTATCAGTGTTCAACGCATTTATATTAGGGTACGATCAAAACGATAAATGGACTAAACGGTCATCTTACAGTGAATCACTTTTTCATTTCTGGAATCGGTGACCGTGGATCCTTCGATTACAAGTAGCAAAAGCAAAAACGGAAGTGGTTTCCACGTACATACCACTCACATTTACACTCGGAGAAGTTTCGAACCAGCGACAACCTAAAGGTGTCACGTTACGACAGAATTTGGGATTTACAAAATTAAAAAAACACGGAATCAGATCATGTGGCGTGTTCGAAAAGCTGGCTTATCAAAAGACGAGTTTCCAACGACTGTCCTTGTTAAAGCTGCTCCCCCTGGTGGGAACACACCAAGAAAACTAACTCTAATGCATTTACGTATCCAAGAAGAGAGGATGAGCGTGCAGTGAAACATACAATCCAAAGTTTCGTGTGAGTTATCTCTACGTTGTGACCCGAAAAGTTCACTCAAAGGAATTTGATTAAAAAACTGATGAATTTTAGCGGGAGAGAGAGTTAGAAGTAGGCTACTTAATTCAGTAGCCTACTTCTAACTCTCTCCTTCCCGCTAAACTTCATTGGCGAGATGGTCCAAATGGCTAGAGCGCGAATTTACTGACCGAAAGGTCCGTGGTTCGAATCCGACCTCCGCCACTCGATTTCCCCTGTCTAGAGTTGGGCAACCTGGCAGTATCCCAGCCCTCGTGCTTCCTTCGGGTGGCATGGCAGCTAGGCACGGAAAGGATGTTACAGCCGAACGCTTTTTTCTTTTTTTTCTACTTAATTCAGATGATGCGCCAAAATAGTCTATTGTGGGGCGACTTCAAGTCTTCGAAATTCACATGGAGACTTCAATTGGAACGCGGAATATGGCAATGAGTATAAGAGATACGTTTGTAGGGGTCGAGTCTCTCCATCCTGTATACCAGCTACGATTGATGAAGTGTCCTCCGAGTTTAGCTGACCTGACATGATCAATCACAGGGAAGCAATAAAGATGGATCCGCAATCAGACTGCGAAATGACCCGATATTGGACCGAAAATTATCGTGTATACTCACCTGGCCGTCACAGTAAGCGGAGTTTGTTCGATACGATCCACGTAATCGTTTGAGCTGTAAAAGTGGAACAGGTGGAATTTATGTAAAGCACAAATATCTTTCTTTTATTCTGTCAAGGAGCACAAGCCAAATTACACACCATTCACAAACAAAACTTTATCACTCGCGTAACGAACGAAAACAGAATAAAAGTTGGTGAACTGAGTCATTCAACTGTCCGACTAAACCAAAACAGTTCAGCTTCGACCCAGCGGACATCTAATGTAGCCAGCTCACTGAACTGGCGGTTGGGCAGTTCGTCGTTCTATGTTGGGGAGGAAAAATAAACGGACGGAATTATTCGTCCAGACGAAGCGAAGAGCTACAAATAAGCGAGAAACCCAAAACGGGCCATTCCAGTAACTAATACATCGTCATTCATATTTCTGTCGATTTAGAACAAAACGGAATGAACTGTTCTGATCTCTCTCCATAGGACTGATTGCCATCTGCCGCTACACTGATGCGGGTAGAAGTTTTCCGTTTTCAGTGTCGTACAGTCCGAGAAAACAACTTGAGACACCTTCAAGCACAGGGTTGACCTACAAGAATGACACATTACACCTCCTGCCCAAATTATAGGCTCAATCGCCGAAATTTGCTACCCAGATCTACTGCTGGTATTCATAACGCAACATCAAACGTTTGACTACGTTGTTTTTTTACCAAGGCTGGAGTTCTTTTAGCTTACTCTCCAAAGCCACCACGGATCGCACGAAAAAGTTGGTCATCGCAACCATTGGTTGAAACTGATATCAATTTTGGGCTCGAATATCACCCAGCTGCTAATGCTTCGGGTTATGCGGATTCGTCTAGCTTATCACTGACTTCGTTGCTTCCCACAAGAGCTCCCACAACACAATACTAGTTTAGCAGAAAGCAGGAATACCGATTATTAAAATTGATTTGTTTGTTACAGCAAATGTTATCATAGATAAGAAGGATTTTCGAACCCGGCAGCAATCTCCTTTATAGTATGCATTTCGCCAATAGCTTTTGGAAAGGCAGGTTCTGTGTGAAGTGCTCGTTGGGACAGGGCGGTTCCCAGGAGGGTCGCACATAAATGTTTGCTTCAAAAATTGACGCAAACGTTAGCATGTGTACAAAAAATTCTGTCTAGTCTTTCTTTTCTCGAAGGCAGCATTCTAACGGTGACACGACTTTTTGTCAATTTCAGAGACCAAGAGTAAAATGGCATTTAGCATCCTCGAAAATGGAGCCGAAAAACGATTTCCTTTGAATCCAATGAGGACCTACACCAGTTGACGGGAGCAAAGTGTCAAGTTGCAATGGGAGAGTTAAAAACACTGCACCATACCCGAGGATATAAGTAAAATGTTCGCCCAATGTCCTATATCCTTATCTCTAGAGGTGTTGGGTAACATAGGCACATACTCTTTTCATCCAAACCTGTACGGAGCAAAATACACCTTCTATTTAGGAGGAGCTGGGAAGGAACAACTATTTGCCTCTAAAACATCGGTCGGGGTCATTCGTAGGTACGCGGAACATTCATTGCGGACGGAAGATTCAAGGCGTACACATCCATAGTTGAATGTCGTCCAAAGAAAGCCCACTGAAGCAGGTAATAAGGGTGATCTGTAGAGCAAAAGACAATTGCATATCCCACTTCAAAAACTACTATGGAGGCTCTACTTACTTTAAGCCATCACACCAAGAACACCGGACACGCAAGGAACAGAGGCTTCCCATTTGTGAAAAAAAGCATTTATTGACCACTGCTACCTTTGACCACCACTACTTTTGATTGACAGTGGTTCTAATGAGAAGGTCACGTAGCAGATGGGTTGGGTGGTTTCTCAGGTCACAATTCGTCCAAAATAGGCGTGCTTCCGGCCCAAGTCCATTCCCACATGACAAAAGACGTTACCGCCCAGAAAATCCGGCATTCACAAGTACTGGGCACGCGAATCAAGATAAAAAAAATTTGCTTAATGGTCCTGTCTTGACAGCAGTCCGAAGCAGTCTACCTGGTTCATTCTGTGCTGAATTTGATGAGTATGTGTATGGTTCCAAGGTTTCCCATTTTTTAAAACAATGTATCAGCTGAAATTCCGAACAGGTCACTACGTGTAGGAGATGCGTTCTTCGGAGCTGGCCAATAATGTCTTGTGGTGCAGTTCAAGCAAGGAAAACATCTGCACAACAGATTGCGTGAACGGAATACGAGTGTTGCGAGATAATTTTATGATCGAAAGGTAGCAAGAGGTAATACCTAGTTCAGGATTTCCAAATACATATCAGAATGTGACTGTTCAAGAACGATCAGTATTTGATGAATAGGCTATCGGTTCCTTTCTGAACCCGTAGTAAACCCACAAGTAAAAACGCTCGGGTGATGAGAAAAAGCATCAACGGCAGTGATTCCTGTTAAGTGAAGAGGCTCTAACGTGGTTAAAAGTTGGCCAACAGTAGGTCTTCAATAGCGTTTACCAGAATATAGAAGAACTGGTCTTCGCAACGGGGTTGAATGTCTTAACCCTACACTAAATTTCCGTACCAGTAACTGGGGCATCCTAATCATTCAATGCGGTGAAACTGTATGGTCGTCGTTCGTGTCACCTAGGTAATGAGCAATGGGGAGTTCACCTTAACCAGCAGGCTCGAATGAGAACAACAAAGTAAGGTGCAACGATAATTGAAATATCGCACTTCTTGGGACCTCGATAAACGTCAAGTAGTCCTGTGTGGCCCTACCCTATTTCCCATCATTATTATTTTCAATCTGTAATACGACTGCGTGATGTGTCGGAATTGACGGTGTCGATCGTGCCAAAGCACGTTCAGAAGAGCGTGTTGATGCCGCATGATTTTGTAGCAGTAGTATTGCTCGTATGGCCTGACAGTCGATAGTAAAGGTAAAGGAACTATCATTCTACTTTCCCCCTCCCCGGCAATAAAAACTCATTTATGAAATCAAAAGTGCCTTCTGCATGATCGGCGGGTGAATAAAATGACAATGCACTTCTTGAACTAGCAAAAGATTTCGTCGGTGACGAAACCCTCCTAAGAAGGCCTTGTTGCTGTACATGGCTACAGTAGTACAACCCTGCTCTTCCCCCTTTAATACGACTAAATTCGCTGGAGTTTGTCAAAGTTGTACTTAGTGCGCGACGGACTTCATTTTGTACACAAAGTCCAGGCACGCAATCGAAAATTAAAGTTAGGTATTCCGGCCAGAAGTTAGGGCCTTGGGCACTGAGCTACCGCCATGGAGTTGCGGTTTCCATGTGCAGAAACTGTATTTTAGAAAAGCGTGCCACAAAGTTTTTTCACATCGAGATGAGAATATGATTATGTGAAGGCCCGTGTTCGATGGAAAAACGAACGAATTAACATTACCAGCGAAATTCCAATCACATCTGCTATAACCAGGAAACCCAAAGAGACGATACAACACACAATGGGTTCATTCGTACCAAAGGCTCCATGGCTCACAGTATGCAGCATTTATTTTCCTCTAAAGTCTTCGTGGATCTACAACGGATGACCACTATGATCAATCAAAACTGGCGACAGCTAACTACCACCCCGACCGCAATGGAAACTATGTGCATTTCTGTTACTCCACATACGAATGTTGGTGGCGCCTGTGGAAGAGCGAAACGAAGGTCGTAAACAGAAAGTGACCGCGCTCCAGAAGATTATCCGTGATTTCTATTGTATCCATACCCCTACAGTATGCTGATTCATTACCCTGACAAGCGTTCCGTTTCTTTTCTGGTGGTGACATTACAAAGTGAATTGTCAACCTATTCTAATAGGAGATTGCTATCACAAGGTGGCACAGTGGAAAAGTAAACCAAGGGTAGACAATTAATAATTTAATAACGGAAAATCCACACTAGCACTCAGACGCATCTGGCCAAAGTCCCTTCCAAACAATTCCATTTCCTAAAAAAAATCCTCCTACTCAGGAAAACGCAGTTTCAAAACGTACCACAATGCGCAAAAAAACCTCGCTGGTGAGGTGAGATACAAAAGGAAACCTTTCCATTGTGTTCCCATAGGGAATTACGGATGCGTGTTAGGCAGGCTTCTACGATGAACGTGGCGGTGCGGATTCGTTCATAGATGAATAGAATACAAACCAATCTAGGTGGTCTGTATATCAGAACAATAGTAGCTACGTTTGTCGCTATACGATAAAATTCATTTGTGTTCTTTCGTATGTGTGGAAGTGTCCAAGTCAAACAAGTCAGGGTGGACACGTTTCGCACCCACTTCGTTTGGACGGTCTTCGCGTAGTGACGAGAGCTCTACCACTAGTTCAATGCACTGTTATGTCTAAGAAAAAATATGATTTCCACTTTTAAAACTCACCAACAACCCTCTCCTAAAGCAACACCTTAACTGGGTCATATCCTTCGGACACACAGGCCATTATTCTACCTGAAGTAGTTGGGCGTTTGGCGTCAGTGTTGATCATTATATCAACCTGTTGGAACGATTGGGAGCCACTAAAAAGTCTCTGCATGTTTGCACAACTATATTATCCACTCGAGTCCGCATATAAGCCTGTATGAAGCACCATGCTGTGCTCCTGGTTCATCACAACTCGAATGTCACACCTCAAAAGTCCCATGCAGATGAAACACGATTGCCTTGAAATTCATACTCAAAGACGTTCGCAGAAAAGGTAAGGCATGTTTTATAGGAGCTTACGCGAGCTGGTATTTGCAGTACCAACAATTCACATCCGACTAAACCATCGGAATGGGACAACCTACATGAGTGCCTTCTTCTGAAAACGTACCGATTAACACCAAAAGTTTGTTCGTTGTCAGTTACTGCACCGATGCGCCACCCCACTATACGTCGCAGTCGTTTGCTTGTAACATGAATGGTGAATCCTTCTAACATCCACCGACGTACAGTGGGTCCACGCAAGTCTCTCCAGGCCCAGACCTGTTCACTGGAACGCAAAGGACCGTAGATACTTGGGACGATTGAAGGTTGTCGAGATGAGTCAGCAGTTGCAGCCAAGGCTAGCATTAAATAATCACTCAGACTGGTTGAAATTTGGGACACTAAGGTCTGTTTTGGATGTTGGAGAGACGGATCGAGAATTGGACCCAAATCTTCAATCTCCGCCGGAGCCAGATGCATTCCTACAGGACATGAGGGGTTGGTCGACGAGCTAGTATCCATTAGTCTTTCGTTTGGTCCACTTCGCACGGAGACAGGGCGGCAAACCACATGATGAGTAACATCGGTCAGGCGGCCAGCAGAAGAGGGACCGAAGGGAGAAACAAATGTATCCAACAGATTGGACCCAACTGGGTTTGGAGTCAAAGCAAGAACACGCAGTTTGAAGGGCTCTGGTGATGACATGGCAGGAACCCACGGTGGTTCTAACGTATCCTTTGGCTATAGTAAAAGAATTAGGAGGAATCCAATAGTCAAACTCAAGTTGATGCAAACCACAACTCATAAGCTGACCACAGTAAATTCCTCTGTTGATGGATAATTCTCCCACACAAGGATGCTTGTACTGCAACACAAGCAAAAGTGCAACCTATCGTGAAAGAAAGAATCTGATAATGAAGATAAACTCCAAAGCGGTCTGGAAAGACAGCGGGTGGTTTACATCCTTTAATCTTCATTCAGAACCCGAATTCTTTAGCCTTTAGTCCATCACGATTCCAGACAAGCAACTTTGCATCCGACAAAGCTACCGAAACATACTGAGTATATATATACTTGACCAATTAGCAAAACGGCCAATAAGAGTAGTCTTACAAGTAATCACAAATAATCAAGATTAAATAATAACGACATAAAAGGTAATTAATACACCCCACTCTATTCGGCCACATTGCGTGGAGATTTTGGAAACAGAACACTTATCTAAATGCACGATGAGATCAATAAACAGCAGACCAGTAGGAATTGCATATGAGCAGAGCTCAGCCGAATGTTAACTGAAAACCATTTTCAATGAAAAACTGAATTATCTGACTTTTAGTCGATACATATGGGACGGGAATTCGTAATGGAATCCGCGATGCTATCCACAACAAAAATAACAGTGTGTTATGTCCGTCCGCCATAACGTTTCATTCGAGGTCAGGCTCAACCTACAGCAGTCTCTTAAAGGAAGATCAAGTAACCAAAACCAAGAAAGCAGTTGGGTAAACGAGTAAGCGCCACCTGTTGGACAAAAATGAGTATTCGGCAAACAAAGCAGGATGACATCATCGTTGCCACTAAATCCATAAGTCCATAAGTTTGCTTGTCTTCGTAATCGTGGTTACATCAGAGCTTTGGTTGTTCAGGCGGTCATACCAACCTTTTTTTAACGAAGCAACCAATCTAGGGAAGGATACAAGGAGCCCTATTGTGACGGAAAGATTTATTGAAGTTTGCGCAATACTACCGAAAGTAACACACTTCCAAGAATTTTGGCCAACGTTTGAAAATGAAAGCGTCACTCATATAAATAAACTGACAGTTAGTTGCACAACTTTCAATTATCAGGACATACGCTTATCTACGAAGCCATCATATCTGATTTGGAAGTGCTGAACTGAAGCGTAGTCGTGAGGCAGAGTTCGGGATGACTTGTCGCTACAGTATACGTTCAAGTATAAGTGACGGAAATCTGTCTGGCTGAAATGTCCGAGAAATAACATTGACAGATCCACTGAGAGTGAGTCGTGTTGCATAAAAAATTTTGATGAAGAGACTGAACTATGGTTTATAGAGAGCAACACCAACAACTAACGACCAACCACACGTGGACAATAAATGACACTAACTCAGAGGAAAACAACGCTGGAAAAAAAGCAACCGGAAAGAAACAGTGAGGGTCTGCAAGTTTCTCATTCGGGTTTTGTTTTATGCAGACAACCACTAACCCTGTGCATTTATTGTGTGACAGTTACAATAAGGGAGAACAAAGTCGAACGGAAGCCGTCACAGTTTTTACGCCGTCCGCTGAAACTGGTGTGTGGGGGTGTCAGGATGTGGAACCCGCCACAGGTGCTACTTTATGCATCTCATTTGACTGTCAGTCATGCACAGGTGATGTTTCACTACATCCTCTCGTCTTCCCGGTATACAATGGGGAAGGGGGTGCGGCAAGAAACGGATAACCCTCCCTCTGGGTACTAGCGTCTGCAGGGTTGTCAATGTATAGAGTTGTTATGCACGCATCTAATCACCTGTGGGAATGATGAAGAATGTGATGTCCTGTTGCACTACCGTATCGGAACCACGAAAGCCGAATTTCCTACTGCGTTCGCAATTTCTTTTATTACTCTTAGACATTTTTTACACTGACTTTAGCCGGGGTTGATCACTCTACATCTATTGTTTTGTTCAGAGAGACGCTAATGAACTCGTGTGATTGAGCGGTGGGTTGTCCGAATGAGCACTCTGACTACTTACAAGTGAGCTAGTAACAACTGACCGGAACCTATTGAACTGTATGGAAAACAGGCGAAGTTTTAAAAGTAGTAGAATTCTGCGCCGACTTGAAAACGATAGACCATGTGCCGAAAACCCAACACACACGATCGATGTATTCTTCTTGGCACGACGCTATAATTCTAAACAGCCCAGTACCTGTTGCACATTTTTCCAGTTCATCACATAGGTCAGTTTCATTCATTTTTATTTCCAAATTGGAGATTGGAAATTGTACCCAGGTAAAGTTGTGCACTTATTGGAAAATTGCTTACATGCTAACAGGAGACTTAAAATAAGCTAATTCTCTCGTTAATAATACCGACTTAATGTATCAACCGCCCTCAAAGACTTCACCGACCGATCTGTGACAGAACTCATGCTTGTGGTGGGGATAGAAGACAACCCGAACATGTCTCTTGGCGCAAGACGCCGTTTATATGACCACCCGTATCGGAGACTTAGTCGGCATGTAGGTAGTGGTCAAAGCTAAAAAAAACTTGTATCCTGGATACGGTGAAAGAAAATCGGTGGAGGGAAGCGAAGATCGCTGGGGTGAGTCACCGGTGATGCAGTGGATTGGACCACGAACGTTAACAATCCAAGAGGTTCGATTAAGATTTGAAATATTCACCCGGGAAGACTAGACAAGCGGTGGCATAACTAGTATACGTATTTGCTCGAATGTTCTGTTCACGATTGGGTTTAATCAGTATTCACATGAGCTTCTCAATGCGGAAAACGGAAGCTAGCAAACATACGTTTATAGGACAAAAAGAATTCGCCGTCTAAATGGACCCAAATGGTGACAAAAAATGAAGCAGTGTTTATGTTACCCCAGTGTGTGTGCACGATCCTTTTACAGGACCATATCTGTGATTGGCACAAATTCTTCCAGTCCGTTGGTTCGTGCACCATTTCGCATAAACAGAAGCCAAGGTGAGAGGCAGATCATAGGTTGCAAGGCATGCAGCCCAAAAGGTAGATCAGTGTAGGTAACCTTAGGGCAACAAAACAAAATTCCATGGACCAAGTAATGGAGATGAGCCGATGAAGGAAGATGGACCAACATACCCAAGCTTGTTCGCATAAGACTGACAGCATAAAACCAAAAGAAGAACACGAATGGGTGTATGTGGTGCGAGGTATCCCTCGGGTGGATGATGTCAATCTGCTTTCCAGATAAAACTTCTAAACAATGGTCGATGAACCAAAACAATGGTTGACGTGACATCTGACGTGTCTGTGTCCGCGACTACAGGGCAAAGAAAAGGGGTCTGCTGACCAAATGAGCGTTAAGACAGCCAGCAAACTTTGTAAATTTAAGTGCTGACAAGGAATAAAGCGAGTGGAAGTATGGTAGAAAAGCTACATAACATAGCTGCTAGTATGCAATAGTGAGAGAATGATTTGGGTAGACATTCGCAGTTCGTCGTATTCTTGAAAAAGCCCAGCTCTATTGAGAACCACGGCAATGTAGGTGAACAATTATAAGCAGTCAAACAAGAGAGGCAGTTGATAAAATACACTCGTTTACGAAATAATTTGGCGTTAACTAGCGACTCAAATGGATCCCGGAGAAATTTCCCGTTTATGACATATTTCAAACAAATGTGCTGCCCAAAGGCCGCCTCATTTGCTACGAAATTCAAGATAACCTAATTTCCCTGCACTCGGAAGAAATGTTAAAGCCCTAAAACACCGCGGCTGTTGTCTGACTTACTACTTGCCTATACTTGTGTGTTGTGTTCTTTGTCCAGTAGCATATGGCGACCTTTTGTGGTTTTGAATAACTATTTCTCCTGTCTAGACAGAACACACTACTCTTAGGTTGCCGAAACTTTCAGAGTCCATGACTGGTTTCGCACTTTTCTGGGGCTAACCAGGTGGGCGCGTTTCCCGAGTATTTGTCTACAGCATTTTTAACATGAACGCGAATTGTACGCAAGTCATCAAACACATATTTGCAAACTAATGCGGGTTTTCGGCAACCTTACGAGTAGTGTGTTCCGCCTAGACAGAAGAAGTGGTTGTTTGAAAGCACAAAAATCACCGGAACGTTACGAGACAATGAACATAACATATCCATCACGCGTTGACAAGCCACACAACTGCGGCGTTTCAGGGCTCAACGTTCCATTCAAATTCAGTGAAGTCGGGCGCATCAATAAAAAACATTCTTCACATTTTTATGGCCAAAACGACAAAGTTATCCAGATTGATATAAGCAGGTGACCTCAAGGGGTCCAATGCAGGGCCATAAGTAGGTCTTCCCAGTATTCTTACCTACTCAAATCGGTTATTGACATGCAGTACAAGAATGAGTTGGAGAACATCAGCTGTCAAGCATACTCAATGCATACTCTGCGGGTGATTAGTTAGTGCACGCAACGATAGAATAAATTCGTGTTTGCGGACGACTACAAAGGTTTGAGCGGAACCCTGAATTGACCTCTAACTCCCACAACAAAATACATAACTCTCCTAAAGTCTGTAAGACGAAGTTAGTGACATATCAACCCCACATCCATCCTACCAATCGTGAAATCACAATGTTGGTTACCAACAGTCGAAAGTTCACTGATCTATGTGCGAGACTGGTTGTTTCACCAAACTTTGGATTTAGGGATACCTACGTTAAAGCCAAAAATATATGAAAATCGTTACAGTAGGAGACGAATGAACGAAAGTCTGGTCTGAAAGCAAGTTGTCGACTAGTACAGCTGTCCTGAATACAACACTCAATTGGGTAATGCAGATGTGTGAAAAGTTAGGCGAAACGCCTGTGAATTGGTGTTAAAAGTGACATTCGAAGAAGGGGCTTTGCTGTCCAGGAGAAAACGGACATCTCGGTTGTCACTGGACATGGAAAATCCAGGAAAAGTGAGACTTATATAGCCCATTGCCAGAAAACAATAGCTTCTTGTCTAGAAAATTTTCGTCTGGTATTCATTCTTTAT